GGGGGTCAAAATATCTCTCTTGAAGAATGCTAGATTTCTTTCTGCTTTTGATTTTTTGATTCTCTGAGATCGCGTTTTGTCTTCTGTTTGTTGTAGGATTTTAGGAAATCACAATTGTGTTGTGATCGTGTTAAGCTAAGCTTACATTGTTAATAAACTAGAGATTTTTCTACCAAAATAACTGTTAGCATTTTCCTCGTAGGATCGATATGTGGACTCTGATACCGCATATTACTTGACATATATACTTGCGTGATTGACCAACTTGCCTTGCGACAACTTTTCGGTCGTCATTCTTTTCAAACCCAAATAGAAAGTTCATCCCTAACTATAGACTCGGTTGGCAAATCTGTCACAAACTTGGCCTAACGAGTTCTTCTCCTTGTTTTCCTTTTGGGTGATTTGACCTTCAAGGCATATAGTATGGCATCATTTGCCGACTTAGAATAAATATGCATAGCATTTGTGAGTAGCTTGAGTGCTTGAATGGAGTGCCTAAACAAGTTTGGGTGTTTCTCGAAGAAATACAATAATTATTTGACAACAAGAATTAATAGGCCTTAAGGTTGAGTACATGGAATATGATCGTGACAACTTCAATAAAATAATCCTTCTATTTTAGCTAACTAACTTTGAGTACTATCTAATGAACGGAGTTGGCTTGGTCTGAATTTTGTTTAAGTTATATTTAGGCATATATTTAGTTATCTAATTCTCTTAAATTTATTGAGAATATTCACAAAAAATAAAGAAATTATATATATTATCGTAATGAGCTATCACTCCATTAATGATTTGAATTCACTCTTCATACATTTAGCATGATTATAAGAATATATATACAAGCTTGATAAGATCATTTGAAGGTTGTAATATTTAGTCATATTCTATCTTTGTTCTTACCATGCATTTTTTCTTCTTGAAATCAATGTGGATCACATTCCTGTGTTCAGAAGTTATGATCATCTTCATAAATTCATTGTTGGCAATATTCTTATGAAAATTTGACCAAAATTTTGGAGACAAATGGAGGGGAAAATTTTTTTTTTCCTGAAAACTAATGTTTAAGGAGGTGAAGATAGGTTTACATCATTACATGAGATGAATAAGATTGGTAGTTTTGATATTTTTTCTATGGAAACAAACTCTTAAAATGAACTCTTAAAAGAGGCAATGATTCCTTAATTAAATTAATTATCGAGCTAATGTCTTCTCAAATTGTACTAAGAGTTGAGCTGTCGACTCTTCGGAACAAATCGATAATCAAGCCAAAGACTTCTTGAAATGAGCTAGGGATTGAGCCAACAAATTTCTGTTTTGTTCTTATAGGGCAAGTTGTCCAAGAATTAGTGACTAAAGTTGGAGAAAATGAAAAAGAACAATTGGAGATAATATGAATTTAAATGAGATTTAAAAATTGATTGTAAAATATTAATTGTGGTAAAAGATATGAACCACTTGATAAAAATTGAAGAAATGAAGAAGAAAAATGATGTATTTGTGCATAATAAAGGCTTACTCGATAATAAT